AAAGATTGATTCCCGGCGGGCAGATCGCGTCTGGAGCATACCAGGACGTCACCTGGGCGGGCCGTGTTGCGGAGCGCAGGACGGAGGTGAGGTTCGCTTCCTAGGCTGCCAAGATGTGGCGGTGCGATTGTGGGGCTTGAGCTTCCCCGGCTCCAAGCACTCTTTGACATTACCATCACAAACAGCCTCATCTAGCGTCAAGCTCGCAGATAGCCCACCATGTCTTCTCAAGCCGATCAACAGAGTGCAACGGATACGACCCAGCAAGCCGACAATGCCATCTCTGCTGAAAAGTCATCTGAAGAACTAAAGACTTATCGCCAGATCGCCGCTGAACATATCGATACCCTCAATGAAATCAACCATCAAATTCCCAAACTGCTCAAATACTTCGCAACCGCCCTGTCCCAACTGACCAACGACCCAATCCCTTTTCAGCATGATGCTATGCAATGCGAACCTGGAACCCTAGAAGCGCGCAAAGAAGCCTTCCGCATCAATGCCCTCTTCTGTGGCACATCATGTGAGATTATCAGGCAAGAGTTGGTAAAGCAAATCAACGCTCTGGAGAGGTACAAGGTCATACCAAAAAGTCACCCCAAGTTTGCCGTCACCCAGAGCCAAGCGCGTAAAGGGAAAGAGGAGGAAAGCGAGGTTGTAGATCCGGAGAAGGATGTCAAGAATGGTGGATATGGTGACTTTGACGTGGGTGTGCTGAATGCGAGAGCAAGCTCTGGTCAGGTTGGTGCTGAAGATGTACTAGACCGGGCTAGGGCAATATTACAAGAGTTGCAAAAGCGGACCGAAGGAGCGACCAATGCCGACGACATGGTCATGGACGAGTGAGAATATCAAGAAAATGTCTGAGCGATGTCTTCTCAGAGAAACTCGTAATGAGTACAAGTCTCGCGACTAGCAGCCGCCCAAACTTAATTCCATGAACGTCGAAACCCAAACGTTCGTAATTCTTGCAACCCACGAAGGAACGCGGCAAAACCAAAAAAAGGTATGACTTCCAAACGCGGATAATGCGTGGAAGAAAAGCGGCCTCATTCACATCACCAAATTCGGTCGAGACTCGGAGGAGCTGACTGCCCAGCTCCATATCCAATATCACCCCGCGCCTTGAATTCGCAATCTGTCTCTCTCAGGTAGCACATAGAAGACTTGAGACCCCTTAGATTGAATAGGGCGTTTTGGTCACATAATGTACAATACTGGTAACCTCCGATCTGACAGCACCTTTTCCGCATTCCCAAATGCTCCTCAGGATATCAAAGCCTGCTTCATGACCGCAATGTCATCTGGCGTGGTACGACAACACCCTCCAATCAACCCCGCGCCAGCATTCCTCCACTCTTCTGTTTTCTTTGCCAGTGTCGAACCTTCTGTTCGCTTACCCTCCCATTCTCTCGCTTTTGCGTTCCACTGCTCACCAGAATTTGGATATACCACCATTGTTCCCTTCTTCACAAGTGGTTTCAATTCCTGGAGAGCAACGAGTGCAACATCGTCAGGGACGCAGTTGAATCCCAAAGAAACAACTTTCTCCACACCTTTGAAGAGCGCGGCAATCTCCGACAAAGGTGTTCCATCGCTGATATGGCTACCATCTCGAAGTGTGAAACTGAACCAGGCTTCTGAAGAAGGAAACTCAGAGGTAAGGAGGTCGATGAGCGCTTCGGTCTCGGCCTTTGATGGGATTGTCTCGCATGCCAGAATATCCACACCGGCTTCGACGAGCGCTTGTATACGTCCACGGTGGAAGTTCTTCATCTTTTCCTTTGGCACGACGTAGTCCCCTCGATACTCGGAACCGTCTGCCAGGAACGCGCCATATGGTCCTACGCTTCCCGCAACAAACAGTTTATCTCCAACATCTGCATTAGCTTCCGTGATGTATTGGCTTCTGGCTTCCTGAGCGAGTTCCACGCTCTTTTTGACCACATTCTTGGCGTCCTGCTCGCTCAATCCCAGATGTTTGACTAAACCGTCAAGGGAGGCTTGATACGATGCAGTAATTGCCACGTTTGCGCCTGCACGGTAGTAGTCTAGATGGGTCTTCTTGATGAGTGAGGGGTTGGCAATTAGAATTTCAGCGGACCACAGTGCCCCGGAAATGTCTGCCCCCAATGTTTCGAGATAGGTTGCGAGAGCACCATCCAATATGATTGGCATGCCTTCGGCGATCAAGTTCGAGACCTTGAGTTGGGATTGGCCTTGATTTGTCATTTTGGCCAGTAAAAAAAATCTAGGCCTTTTGGAGAAGAATTGTGTTGTAAGACGGATGTTGGGGGAACTCTGAGTTGAGTCAATCTAGTGCGATCAGCAGTGGTCAGAATGATTATTGGTTGCTTAGGTCTTCCCCACTGCCGGTAAGCTTTGCTTTCAAAAATCGGAAATAGATGGATGTCTATCTTGCTGAGTCACATGCATTGCGCCATCGCCTAAGTGGCTGTATTCTAATGCTAAGAAAATGTATCCGGTCTAGCGGTGAATGTGAGGGGTAGGACCGACCATCCTTTGTGGGGCCGTCGGTTGACGCGTTGGGGAACATCGCGACATATGCTTTGCGAACGCGACACATAATTATTTCAAATATCAGCGCGCCCATTCTCTTCTTCTGTGTGCTGCTGACACTGGAAGCTCAGAGATCTTGATCTACGCCTGGCTCAGCAGTACTTTTTAATCGCCCCTAATAGCTCTTTAGCTTACTTTGAGACAGTTGGGTAGCAACGGTCAACCACAAAGATGGCGCGTTCCTTTACGTCTTCCGGCCTGGTCTATCACGAGACGACGGCATCCGTTCGTTCAATGGTGCCCAAATGGACAACCGATTCCCGGGGTAAGCGAGTCGATCCTGCCAAGTTTCAACATCCACGTTGTGATAGTCTGCATTCCATGGCACTCCGTGCATGCATCTGGAATATCCACAACATGGAGCCCGGCGCTCTACAATGGCTTGGATGGTGGTACGCCAGTCGCCTTTATATCCACCTCAAATCAACGTGCGTCACGGATCTCATGAATAGCCTCAATCGTACAATGATTGACCTACAGACAGAGATACGCTTACATTCCATGCGTGGAGCGTGTTTAGAAAAGCTTACCCGGAAGAAGTCGATCACCATGTAACATTCCGGGTCCAGGAGCGGGATCTCGCATCAATGCAGTACCTTTCTGTGGTTGATCGTCTATCTAAACTCGATGTTAGCATGCTTACCTTTCTTTGCGTACGCACTCTCAATCTTTCGATTGACCATCTCATTGCACTTACCAAGATCCAAAATCTGGCGGTACTTGTGCTTGAAAATGGGACAAACTCTTGGCAAAATACCATGCAAAAGCCAACCATCGACATGATACGGGATTGGGGCCGTAGCGTTGGTGAAAGTGGCTCATTTACGAAGCTAAGGGCACTTGTGTTGAGCGGATATGACATATCGCATATCAACTCTGTTCTCAAGAGCATCTCTTCATTTCCCGCATTGAACCTCTTTGGAGTCGATGGTTTGTTCATCCAATCCGGAGTTGACTGTTGGGGAGATTGGACCAACCATCTTCCGAAATGGTAATCAAGTGCACCGAATATTGATGGCATTGTTATTGACATGAATTGAAACAGCACGAAGTTTAGCAAACTATCACCGGAAACTATCTGGGAGACCAACACAACTACCACAGCATCCAAGATGCGCCAGCTTTACCAATTCTCACTAGAGATTTCCCAATCGGAAGCAGCCCAAATGGCTGCCGGCCGATCCATTTCTCTGTTGTACCTCCAGACCCGAGAGTCTGTTCCCAGATGTCACACTGAATGGTTCCACCGAGAGTTGCAAGACGGATCTGATACAAAGACTAAGCGTGCACAAGATGAAGAGCACCGAGATCGAAGAGAGACCTATGGCAAAAAGCGCAAGATTCGAGATAGGAATAAGGTTGGCATGGAGTCTCTTCTCGGAAGTTTCATGTAGTCAGAAGGCTTTATGGAAAGTTCCATACAGGTCAGACAACATGCTTCTAAGCTCACTATGTATCCGCTCATCCTATACATAGCTTTGCACATGACACGGCCAAGCATCACACTACTGTGAAGTATTGGTAACTGACGAGCTAAGCATCATCGAAGCGGATAGACCTACACGTTGTGCGAAGCAGATATTAATCTTACACATAGGAATACACAAGACGCATGACACTACTGGCTATCTTCAACGGCAGTTAGACCTGGTCTTGAAATACGAATTTCCTCAGTTTTCGAACTTCGCTGGGGATTGTCTAAATATCCGCGTCGGAGGAACCAATAGAATATGTGTTGAGCTTCTCAGTGGGAAGCAGAGGGCTGCACGGAATTGGATATCATTCCTTCGGGTTATAGTCCACTCAGAAGAATGGCCACATCTTTCGCTCGTCTCTACCCCAAGTAAAGGATGCGCATTTTAGTAATCGCGTAAGCTGAGGGTCAGCCAGCGAATAAAAAAACTTCCATTCCAACTCTAGTTGAGACGGGAAAATTTGTCTGCACAGGTCACATCGTCTGGAGATTCAAATCGACAGCTAATTCAGTGGCGGCCAAAGATATGTCATGTGGCATGCAGTACTTTCTCTCGTCGTTCTGGTGACTTCATCATGCTGCCAAAGATGTGCACACAAAAGTGCTTGCCATCGAAGCTCTAAATCCAAGTACGTACCCGAACCTGCCTAGTCTCTCGACATAGGGCAGTGCGTTTGTTGTTGACGGCAGCGCACTTTCCCTACATTCGACTCAGCACAATGCGCTTGCTTCAGTTACCTGCCTGTATCTTGGCGTTATTCCTCCGCCCATAAATATTCATCTCAGTACTCACTTTCTCTTCTTTCTGTACCGACTTCCTACACTCGTTACCGCCCATCCATCCGCCCCCAGCAATCGGCTCAGGTCCTTTGGTCTTTTGCTATCTTTGCCCATCAACTACACCCTCTGAACTCCTCTCGCTCCTCCAGCTACTCTCACCGTCGTCATGAAGTTGGTCCAGTTTGTCACCCTCTTCGGAGGTGCTGCACTTGCAGTCCAGCCTCTTGTAGCTCCTTGTAAGTACTGTTCATCAGCACACTGCCTTGCAAGTAGCCACTTCGTCGGACCTTCACTTCCTCTCTTCAGACCATCGCACTTCTTATTTATAATGCAAAATATCTGACGTGCCACTAGATGGCCAGCGTGCCCTGAACGATACCCAATCCACGGTTATCATGGGCACGTCCACGCACCTGGTCTCCGAGATCTGCACTGATGTTGCGAGATGCCCTCCTTATACCACCGAGGTCCAGACTTCTGTCATTCACGTCACCGACACGACCACCGTCTGCCTTCTTTCTTCGACGCCTTCGGGATATGTACCTCCGGCTTCTGCTACTACAACTCTGTCAGTTACCAGCTCGGTATATCCCACTGAATCTGGGGTCTCGGTCAGCATTATACCAGGCTCTCACATCTCTGTGTATTCGAGTGTCAATATCTCTCCACAGACCAGCGCCTTGACTACCGAGGTCACTTCCTCAAGCATTTACGTGTCGCCGTCTGTTACACTTTCTCAGCTGTCCGTGTCAGTCAGCCACGTTCCCACCCCAAAGCCGAGTGCATCAGCCTCATACACAGTCACAAGCACTCCGGTGGTAAGCATATCCAGCGCGACTTCGTCGGTCTCAATCACCAACACTGTTGGTATCTCATACCCGCTATCTTCGGTAGGTTCGAGCTCTACTGGCTATTCAAGTGCGCCCATCTCGCCTCCTGCCGTCTCGGTAGTCCCTTCGTACGCAGACTCTAGCTCAGTTGCTACTTATAGTTCGTCGGTGGTCTCTCACTCATATCCTGGCCCCAACACTTCAAGCAGCTTGGCAGGTACCTCGACTGATTTCGTCCTGGTTCCTACCTATGTCTTCGATACTACTTCAACGCCAGGCTACGTTCTGTCTTATACAGCCACGCCATCGAGCAGCCATACCAACACACTGTCTACTTCTTCTATATCATCATACCCAGGAGCTAGCTTTGCAGGTTCATCTTCGGAAGGGTACGTTGTTTCGCCAGGCAGCACCTTTGTGCCAATTTCTTCCACAGTTCTTTCACCGACTTGGCCATCCTCGAGCGGGTACACGATACCATCTGGCTCTCCCAGCTTTTGGTCGCCAACATACCTGAGCTCTGCCGTACACGAGAGCACGAATGTGATTACCAGCTATCATGTGCATCTGTCCACATCCTATATTACTACATCGACTTCTGGTAGTCCCGGAAACCACACCGAGACCAGCGCTCAGACTGTGCCTACATATCTTCCATCGGGCGTCTCTTCAGGTCCTTCTGGATCTGGGTAAGTCCTTCAGAGCCACTCCATATCATGTTCACACTTGCTTACTCTACAACTAGGTACCCATACCCCTACGCCAGCGCAAACGGATCGGTTGTTGGTCCATCACCCAGTTACATGGAGGTTCCGTTCAACACAGGCCACCGCATTGGCGCTGGGAGATGGTGTGGTGCAGTCGTTGTCCTGGTTCTCAGCCTTGCCAGCTGGGCATAGGTCAGCCAAGCGACGTGTTCACATAGTCTCACAAATGATGAGGAAGGTATGTTTAGGTGATGAGGAGTCGGCCTGATGGGATATTCTTGCATCACCTATGACGCGTATTCTAGAGCAGCCCGGCTCTGCATACATAGTGAGGAGGTGCTCTTAGGGACAACGGGACAGTGACATAATCTTTCTTGGGAGCGTTCATTAGCTTGACAGAGGTTTTTGCAGATATTTTAGCAGTTACGGTAGCCGCCATCAGAGTAGTACGTCATCTACAATACAATTACTAAGACTGTTGAAGACTGTATGTGATGCACTGTGATTGTCCCGCGGGTCTCAGCAAAGAGTGAGACTTGTTGTCTTGCTACGAAGACAGATGTCATGGCTAGATGTTTACAGCAGTCAGGACATCTTGCAAGGGGACAACCTTTTCCTCTGGCACTATATTGGTCCATACGTCGTCGGGAATACGTTTATCCTCTGGGATGATGCTGAAGTGAGGACTTGGCTCAGCCTTGAGCCACTTGAAGTCATCAATCTGGTCCCACAGATTCGGCGATTCCGATATCTGAGGCGTAATCTGTTCATTGGTCAGTTTTCTCCTAGTAAAACCACCCCTTCCCCCAAAACTCTCTCCCTCTCTCTCTTTCTCTCTCTCTCTCTCTTCCATGATTTTTTTTTCTTTGCATGACGAAGAAGAAAGAAAAAAACTTACATAACAGCCGGGCAACGGCGCAAACCTCAATCCCTCACAGTCTTCGAAAATCGGGCGACTCGCACTGTGCAGATAGATGTCCACGTTTTTACTATCGTGCATGCGGAACTGACGACACAATGTCACAATCACGCTATTCGTCACGTGCGTGATGTGGATGGGACCTGCGACGTGGCCGCAGAGTATGAGGCTGTTTTTGATGTTGCGGAGGTAGAGGGTTGCGAATGGTGTTGGGCTGGTGGTGAGATTGACGATGCAGTTGGCTAGGTGGGATACTGTGGGCGAGTTTGTGGTGGAGGGGGTTGAGGCGAGGGTTATGCGGGTTGAGGATTTGTGGGTGAGGTCGGATGGGGTGTCGTCTTGTTGCTGTGATGGTGGCGGGATGGAAGTACTTGGTTGTTCTTTTGCGGGTGTTGGTGTGCTGGATGGTGCTGTGGCTTCTTTTCTCTTGTTTTTGAAGCTGAATTTCTTGGGGGGGTCAAAGGCATTTCTTATGCTTTGGAGCTTTTCGGAGAGAGATTTTATGGCCTATTTTGTATGCGTCAGCATGATAGTTACTCGTGTGTTGTTTGGTCACCTTGTTTCCATTCGGCATTGGTTTTCTCTTTTCACAGTTTGAGACATTCATACCTCGCTATATGTTCGCTGGTCATACGCAGGCAGATAACTGGACGCGTCCATGACATCGTGCGATAGGCGGTCTATACCCGCCAGACACTGCTCTATGGCTTCGTTTCGCTCACGACTTGCAGCTGGTGTATCTGGAAGAGAAGATATTTGGGCTTCAAGTGCTGCGTTGGGATGTTAGGTGTGTTGCAAAGAGTATACGGCAGCGTCGGTCTTACATGCGACATCATCTTGAAATTTGCGGTAAAAGGTTTCTTTGAGGTTGGTTTCAAACATTGTAGGAGGGTTGGTGCCGGGGATGCTTCTTTGAAGGAATGGTGCGTTTAGGAAGAAGGCGGCAGGGCGAAAAGCAGATTCAATTAATTAGGCAGCGAGTGTTAGTGATAGACATGGTGCGAGGGAGTCAAGGGATGAGATGGTGGGGTGGTTTGGGCATCGCGTCAGGAAAGAACACGATGTGGAACATTCAAAGTCAGTACAAATTTGATATGCAAGATGTTATTTGAACATAGAATATATTAGATTCCAAGCGCTTGTTTGAATACTAGCCTACAGTACATGCATTGTAGGTGACAGGAGTGAACGCGTGGGATGCGAGCTACCCCGCGTTCCATCCAATAGCGTTTCGCGCATTATCCGATGTAGGACAAGGCGGGCATGGTTAGTGGAGCAAAGCAGACATACATGCTAATACAAAATTTAGAAGTCGGATAGTTCGACAATGCCTCAATTGCTAACGTAGTATGTACACAAACCAGACGCAGCCCGGATCTTGGCAATCGGGTATTTTGAACCTGTAAACTCAAAAGAAAAAGATGGGGGGGGGGGGGGGGTGCTTCTAAGCCTACTGCTGGGCTGCCTTGACGTCAATGCCGTACTTTTCTAGCAATCGCTGCCGCCTCCGCTCCTCATAACCAGGGCCGTAGATTCCTAGTAGGATTAGTCTTAGGATGGGTAGATATTGGCTGGCGTGCATCTTACCTCGTCCCTCGCCCAGCTGCTCCAGTGTCTCGGACAGTGGCCGCCTACGGAACTTCTTCAGCTCCTCCCTGCGCTCGACCTCGCCATCATCGTCAACCTGCTCTCTAATGTCCCCGACGCCTCGGAGGCCGCTGGTGTATCGGAACGCGGTGAGGACGGTGGAGGTTAAGGCTCCGGCGCCGAGCATGAAGGGAAGACTTCGCCCTGGGACGAGTTAGCATGGTAGTGGTCATACAGGCTGGCTGTGCGTACTGGAAATACCGAGGGCACATCCGGCGGCGAAACCAGCGACGGCCTCGCTGTAGCAGTCGTCCTTGCGTCGCAGGTTGCTAGTCGCGTCGAGGGTGAATTGGTAGGTAGCTCCGACACCGGCTGCAGGTCAATTAGCTGCACTGAGCAGGCAAAAGGACAATTGAGCAGCTACGGACCGTACAGGGCAATGATGCCACCCGAGCGGGTGAGGATGCCCATGGCGCCGACGTTCTGCTTGCGCAGAGTGTTCTGGACTCCGGCGACAACGGCGCCGACGGCGGTTGTCTGGATCATGGTGCTCACGGTGTTTGCGAGAGCATCGCGGGGGTGGAAGGTGGCGTCGTGGGCGGCCATGGCGGGCGGAATGGGGCGTCGATGTCGTCGTCGTCGAAGCTCTCGCTATGGCTGGCGATGTCAATGTCTCTGGTGTTGCAGGCGGCGGGCGGGCCTAAGCGTCTTGGCACCGGGCGCCAGGGCTCCCCGGCACCGGGCACTGCATCATCGTGCGCGCCAGGTCAGTTGGCAGTGTCGCAGCATCGTGAGGGCATGACAGGCAATGGCTGCTTGTGCTGCTCGTGTATACCATTCCCAGACCTCCTACTAGGCCAGCGTGCCCTTGTGTGTTTTTGCTGGGCAACCGCCACCTACAATGCTTACCTGATGAACCGTCTATCCACGCCTCTTGCTTGCTTGCTCTACTTGGCCTGCTTCGTCTCGTGCACTTGATCTATTTCCATCACCACCCATACATAATCTCTCCCCGCCTGTCTCGCCCGGCCGGTAGCAGCCATGGCGCCCGGTACCTCGTCTTTGCCCCTTGCCCATGCACACATGCTAACTCGAGCGGTACAGGCAAGACAGCGCCACGGCTCCTCCAGGACCTCTTCACATACGACCCCCGCCATGAAGAGCGCGCCGGCCGCAACCTGTTGACCAGCCCCCCGCCGCAGCACGATGCAAATGCTCCAGCCGTCGCCGCCGTGCCCTTTAGGAACTGCAGGCACAACTTCTTCACAAAGGACAAGCAGTCCATCCCCGTCGAGCCAGGGCGCGAGCCAGACACCGACACCGTCTACAAGGTTGCCGCCTACTGCCAAAAGTGCCGTTGGCATGTTGATGTCGTTGCCGACCACCGCAACAATGATGGCAGGAGCAAGTGGTGCGGCAGAGGGAACACAGACTATGCTTTGCACCACTTTCTCTACCAGGGCCAGGAGGGCTCCAACGGCATCAACGGCCTCGAAGCTCAACTGCCGTCTCGCACCTACTCCTTCCGCTGCTCAGCACCTCAGTGCTCACTCCACGTCCGCATCGGCTTGAGGCCACCAATCTTTTCCGAACATGACATTGAGACTCTGACCAACCAGGCCAAACTGAGGAAGAGATGGGAGGTTGCGCAGCACTTGGCGGGTGATCGAGCCGACCCAGTCATGGCCCGTAGAGTCGATGCCCCCGACTACCTCAACACATATCTGCAAGACTCGCTCAACCCTTCAAAGGGCAAGGCGCGCATTCCCCTGTTCAACAAGAAGTTTCTCAAAACCTTTGGCCGCGATTGCGACTCTATCCTGAGGCGTTTGGGGTTCGAGAATCGGCAAGAAGAAGACGACGAGGGCACCTTGATAGAAGCCTGGTACCTCCCCAGACCAGAGAACACTGCCCATCCTCTCGAATACACCCTGCGGACCAAGATTGAAGATGCTCGCTACGAGCTCAACACCATAATACTAAGCGTGCCAGAAAATGAACGTGCAAACTGCAGACACCAACCCATGCACCCCTTGCCCTCGCGGGACGAGCTCGAGAGAGTGCTGGCTTGTGCAGATTGTATGTTTGACTCTGCGCGTCTCGTTGTATATTGATACTGACGGGTTCTGTAGATGCAAAGGCAAAGGGCCGCGAAACCCGCAGCACAAGCCATGAAGAGGATCACCCGTGCGTATTCTACCTTGATGTTGATCCAGTATCTTCATATGCTGACACTAAATAGCTATTATGCTAGCTTAGGCGCTTTGGCTGACTTTGACGACTCACTGATTCTTTTTGCTTTCTCTCGTCAAGTTGCTGTAGACATTGATAACAAAGACTATTATTTTGAATGCTTGCAGGATCTCGCCGCAGGTCGCCAAAGTGAGACGCTTGGGGTTCAGGTAGCCCTGTTGGCCTCTCAAGGACTCATTAGCAAGCGGGACGCCCAACGTGCATATCAGTACTTTGGCATCAATCCGGCGCATGCGAGCGTCATTGGGGACGAGCACATTATTGGTTCATTCAAATCTCGATTATCGGATATCAGCCCTCTGCAAGCCGAGGAAGCACGAAAGCAGTTGCGGGTTCTCGGAGATGTGCGCGATAGTGAGAGGATAAGAGCAGAAGCAGCAGGGTCTATTGAAACTTACGACCAAGCCATGGCATGGTTTGAGCTTGACCCTACCACAGCAGATGACTTTGTTCAGACCATGTACTCACTAAAGGTCCGTGCACAATTATGATTGCCTTGGAACAAACGCTGATGCGCACTAGACTCAAGACAATCCAGCAGAGGTGGAAACCGCACAAAAAGCACTACAGATTATAGCGGATCATCGACAAAGCGAAAGACTACATCACTTCCTCAAGTTCGGCACCATGTCCGAACCCGAAATGGACCTAGGGGATGCCTACGCTCACTTCCAAATTTCTGATCGAAGTGTTGCGCTCGATCCAGCTGTGCTAGATTCTCTGCTCAGCACCTACGAGCTTGGCACAAGTGAGAGGGCGAGAATGGAGAAAGCGCATGCACTCATCCAGCAAGACCAGACTCAGAGATTCGGCAACCGCCCTGCCAACGCTCCCATGCCTGTAGTGCGGCGCAACAACTATCCTCTCGAATCATGGCCCGTCGGTCTCCGCAACATTGGCAACACATGCTATCTGAATAGCGTACTTCAATTCCTGTTCACCATCAAACCCTTACGGGACCTTATCCTCAACTGTGAGGATCACCTACAAGATCCCTCTCCGGAGGCTCTGAAAGACAAGAAGGTTGGACGTATGGCAGTCACTCCGGAAAGGGTGTTGACTGCGCAGAAATGTCAGTATGTTTCGAATCCACGAGAATCTATACTAACCTTGTCTAGTCGTTCGTGAGTTACGGGCCTTCTTCGAGCGGATGATCAAGGCACCCACAGACACTGTGCAACCTGAAATCGACCTAGCTTCACTTGCACTATGCAAGTCAGACATTTCCGAGGAAGCAGAGATACAGGATTCAGATGTCGTTCCAGGCATAGGTCTCGGTACCATTGATGGAGCAGTAGTCAGCGGCCCTATGCTGCCACCCGCTGAGGGTCAGCTGATTCCCGTCGAACTACCGGCCGGATCCATGGCCGACAAGAAAGAGACCAATTCCACGGACACTGTTATGGATAACACCGAAACTCCGGTAATCAATCTCCTGGACTCGGATATGAAGGACGACGCCCCCAGCCATGAGAATGGCTCAACAAAAGAAGGTGGGAATGATGTTCCTGCACCGCCAACACGGCCACCTCCAGTCCCACCACGAGCAGATCCTAAACCCGCTCCAAAACCTACTGTTCAGTCAAGCACGAAAATCGGCAGAATTGAGGAGAGTGCTCGACAGCAGGACGCAGCAGAGGTCATGGCGAACATCTTTGATTTGATATCCTGTGCAATCACCGGTGATAGCGTATTGCGAGAAGGCGAGCAAGGAGATGCTATCAAGAAGCTCTTCTTTGGCGACGTTACGACCGTCATGGAAAAGCCAGACGGAGTTCAGAAAAACCAAGAGCTCCGAGACCATTTCCTTGTTGCTACTGGTCGCCGTGACCGCTCACTCTATGCTACTCTGGACGAGGATTTCGGTCTCGGCGAAATTGAAAGCGATGGTGGTACGAGGTATGATTACGTTGAACAGGCCGCGCCCATCCAGATCATCAACGTAAAGCGGTTGCAGTACGAAAAGGGCCAACCGGTGTACGACCACTCACATATTGGTCTTGAAAAGACCATGTATCTCGACCGTTACTTGGCAAGAACGCCAACGCTAGACGAGTCACAGTTGTTGGAACTCCGCAAAGCGCAATGGGCAAAGCAGAAGCAGCTACGAGAGCTGGATGCAAAGCGAACAAAACTGCAAACTAGTGGGATCGAGGGCATGAACCTACCGGAGTGCCTTGACGCTACTAGTGATTTCATCCAGAGCTTGTCTTCAGACAATTCCGAAGACCAGGACCAGCTAGGTAGCCTGCTAACACCTCCCCCAGAGCTCTCGGACACTCTCCATAAACGTGCCTCTGATTACGCACTGGAACTTTCGGGTATTGATGAGCAGAGGACGACGCTGGAATCGGAGATCAACAACGTCTTTCGTGACTGCACCTCGGTCCCATACCGACTACATGCCGTGTTTGTACATCGTGGCGATGTCAAGGGCGGACATTACTGGATCTACATTTACGATTTTCAGAACAAGGAATGGCGAAGCTACAATGATGATCGAGTGGAAAAGGTTGAAGATGAAAGTGCGGTCTTGGAGAAAGAAGAAGGCAAGAGGCCAAAGGTCAGTACTGGTGTAGTATATGTCCGGGCAGACCTGGCAGAACAGTACACCGAGGCTGTTTGTCGACATCCTGAGCAACCCAATGTGGAGAAAAAAGACATTGAGATGAAGGACGTGGCCGACGACGCGGATGATGAGTTGCCAGACTTGGAGCCTGTAGACGCGGCAAACGCGCCAGTCATTGAGGGTGTGGAGAAGGTGTGAGCTCTTTTAGAGCATCATACCCCTTTATTCTCCGCTCGCATGACACTGACATGGCAGCCCGTCCTCATCCATGTCCCACTGACATATCACGAAACCATGTGCGTTGTATGACCACACGACGCGCACGAATAGGACTGCGTTCTTGCCGAAAAAAAAACAGGCACGGACTTAGCATGCCTGGCCAAGAAAGCAAGGTCACATGTTGGGGTCCCCGAGGAAGTTGAGGAGTGGGTATATGTGGCTTTTGTTGAAGCAAAACTGGGCTCGCTGTATGTAGGATGGGGGTGTTGGATGGACTTTGTAGTCTTCAACAGTGCTCATCACATTTTTGAGGAAGAGGTAATGCATAATCATGTTACGACTTGTTTTGACACTGGACACAGCATGTAGAGGCCATGAATAGAGTGGTAGACGATGCTAGATGTGCTAGTCTTGTACGTGATGATGATATTCTAAAGCCACTCAGTTTAGCTCTATTCTTTTCAAGACTCCTGTACTTTTCAGGTTCTGTCGCTAATTTGGGTTGATGCAGATAGGGATATCTTCTTTTGAACTCGTGTTAGCGTAGCATACAAATACGTTTTTCGATAGTCACTCAACTCACAAGCAGAGCCACACACACAACAAATGAGTCCTTCTTTACCCTTGACCAACTTCCGCACTTCTTTTACTCTTCACCCAGCGCTTTAAACTTTGGCGGAATAAGTTCAACCCAATAACCCTGCATCATTGTCAGCTTACATTCGCAACCCCCCCCCCTTTTCATCCACCCCCATCTTTCTCAAAGGAAGGAACAAAAGGGTACACTCACATCCGGATCCTTGACAAACGTCAACTGCCTAAACACATGCTTATACCCCTCGGTCACCTCCCCCCACTTCCCCTGTACCACCTCGTCGGGCACCGCCATCTGGTCCTCCCTCGCCTGATCCAACGGCTTAATAACTTCAAACCCAAACTCCTGCACACGCTTCGTCGCGGCGTCTACGTCGGGGACCGTGAAGCCTATATGACCGAAGCCTACTCCCCGGGCGGAGTAGTCGTTGCCGGAGACATAAGGGGTCTCGGTGTCTGCGGGGATGTGGTAGAGTTCTAGGAGACCTTGTTTTTGGCGGATGTTTTGCATGTCTGTTTTGCGCTCAGCTTTGTTTGTTTCGCTGTATTCCAATTGGCAAGCTGAGGGGAAGGGAAATAAACGTACTCACGTCTCGCCCTCCGAGATAGTATATAACCCATGGTCCGGCGTTGAATATGAAGACGACGTGCATGCCGAGGCAGTCACAGTAGAATCGGAGTGTCTTTTGGGGGTCTTTGATGCGCATCATGAAGTGGTTTAGGCTGTAGCCCGCGGTGGCGGGGGATGGAGGGCGTGGAGGGGGCGCGATGTGTGTGCCGGATTCGTAAGGGGCCGGGGGGAAGTTTGGGTTGGAGGAGGACATGGTTGGTAAGTTTGGTGGGACGCAATTGGAGGAAGTGGTGGGATTGGGGATGGGTGTTTGGGAGAGATTTGGGAGGAGAGTCGACGAGCTATCCAGGGGTAGGGATTGCTGGTGGGATGCGTGGGGTATGCGGGGTAGGGCCGCCTGGTGCTCTACCTTGCTCGTTGGGATAGTTAGTCGAGCATTGTGCATTTGCTGTGGAGTCTTATTATTTGAATCCTTTCGCGGCCGGCCAGAGCCAATGCCTCCATGCTCTTTCTTGTATTGGCGAAGCTTTGAGCGGCGGTCAGCGAGTTTTCCGTATTTATCGCGCTGCTGGAGGAGTCGATATGCGGTGGCATGTGGGATGTTGAACTCGTGGTAGATGTCACGCTTAGTCTTGTCTCCACGCTGATCGATAGCTTGAAAAAATCGAGCACGGGTTGGAGTATCAAGATGCGAATTCAGAGAACGTTTCCGTGAAGGTGGAGGAGTCATTTCTACGAAAGATTATCTCAAAAAATTGTGTTTTGGCTGAGATGCACAGCTGCAAAGCTGGGAGATATCAAGGTTGCGTCACTTTGGTGTTGCGGCACTACAAGCACGGACGTGTATCATTTTCTTTTTGTTGATAGGACGTACGCCTCATACGTTTTCCAGATAGAATTCACGGGTATGACGGGGATATTAATGCGTTGATAGTTAGAATTCATGCTTATTCTATATAAATTCGCTGGACAGATTCGCTGGGCGGTTGGAGCATGGTGGGGTGAGAGAAACACAGCAGTAGGCGTGAAGCGTGACGTCGCCGGCTGCTATGACGAGCCGCCCCACATGCAAGGGTCCATCCCGCACCTCACTAGGGAACTTTTGCATGCAGTGCTGCACCACAACACCACCGTGCCAGCCACCATGGAGTTCCAAAGAGGCGAACGCGTCAACCTCAACTTTGATACTGGCGCAGTCGAGAAGCTGGAGCCAGAGGAACAAAATGTGCTTCCTATGCCCTCATTCCCCGCTTTTGTGGGCGACATTCAAGAGCGCGATTCATCATCAGCTAACCCCCCAGTCGCGCCCTCACTTAAGCCCAACGTGAACGGTTTCCCAGCACACAAGAAACGAACTCCGAGAGTATCTGCCTTTAAGCAGCAGCGCGCTGCAAAGGAAAAGCAGGCTGTCGCGGCACCCCCGCCTAATCCACGGAGTGCCTTTGCCCCAGACCCAGACGAAGAACGAAGAGCCATCGATGAGGAAAATAGGCGAACCATCGCGGCCATGTCTGATGCCGAAATTGAACAAGAGCGACAAGAGCTCATGGCAAGTCTCAATCCTGCACTACTACAGAAGCTGCTGCTGCGGTCCAATATCGACCAGGGAAGCAATGAGCGCGACTTTGATGCTGAGCCACCAGCGCCTGCGGCTACAAAACCTCCCGCGACTGAAAAGGCCGAAGAAGACATACAGACCAAACCTGCAAGCACAAAGAAAGTTTCCTTCGCAGCGTCAGAACCTGTGGACGAGTCCAAGTTGCCAGAATCCACGACTTCCCCTTCCGCATCCGCCACCGAAACCTCCCCCGACGCCATAAGATCCGCCCTAGAGCAACAAACAGACGACTCAATACACTTCCCCCGACCCCCACAACCGCCCGATCTCGATCCCAACGACCCGTCCTTCCTCAAGAACTTGCACGAGAAATACTTTCCCAACCTCGCCTATGATCCCTCTAAGCTGTCTTGGATGTCCCCCATCGATCCCTCCGACAAAAAATCGCCATACCATCCTTCTCAAACCGCCCTCAATCCTGCCGAACTGCGCTTCGACTTTGAGGGAAACCTGCTCGCACCCAGCGTAGCGAGAGAAATTCCAACCGACAGAGGGCTGCACCACCACGCCGAAGCCCCCGAAGCAGCAGGATACACAATACCAGAGTTAGCAGTTACAGCCAGGAGTAAAGTCCCCAGCCAGCGCTGCATTGCCTACCAAACGCTAGGAAGGATTCTATACCGCCTCGGAAAAGGCCAGTTTGGTGTTGAGAGCGCCCAGAAAACAGACGGACCCGTGCGAGTGGCCAAGAATCCGGATGTGGAAGAAGATGACGATGATGATGGGGAGTGGGTGGAGGAGGATGTGGGAAGTGCCATAGCGGGCGGACTGTGGCAATGTGTTGAAGAGGGAAGAGTGATTGAGACGTTGACGGAGGAAGCGAATAAGGAGAGGGGACATCTTACTGCGCGTACATTTGCGCAGGAGGCGCTGTGGAATTGGCGGAGGGGTGGGGGGAGGAGGAGACATGCTGTTTGACGTGTATTTGGGGAGAATCCCCAATTCAACATATGTGACTACAACACGTCATGTCCCTTGTCATTCTGATATGATTATAGTACATATCTAAAGTCTTTGTTTAGAAACTTTTACGAATCCGCATCCTCTGCTTCGTCGTTTGCTTCCTGGTTAAGTAAGCTATATAGTACTTGATCACAACGCTGTCGAGTAAAAAGCACACAACCTTCAGGACACGCAATTAAAAAGTAACGAAAAAGCCAATGCCATGGAATTCTCACACAACCTTTACTGAGTAAGAGCAATGCATTGGCCGATCTTGATGCTGCAGCCGACTAACAGAACCCCCATGTATGTACCTTCTTCCCCCTTCCATGCCCTTATTACCTTGGCTAATCCCATCACATTTTTTTTTACTTTCTCTCCTTCCAAATTCTGATATTTACCTCCGTCTGTGACGACTACCACCTCCATCTGCCGACCCTGACACCACTAACCCTTGCCGTCTTGGCAATGGTGCCTGCCGCGTCAACCTGCGTCCCCCGCGCTGCTGATCATCACTTTTTTTTGGGAACAAGGACTTGGTTGTTTTCCGGCCCCCGCTTGCTTCACTGTGTGGAAGGGAAACCCTTTTTTCCCCGTACTTGTAGGCATGGCTTTCCTGTGATTTTCGACGCATCTTGCTAAATACGATGGGGATCTGTAAACTGGATGTTGTTGATTCATTGGTGTTCGAGCGGTTACAGCTGATGATTTGTTTGGAGGGTTGCGTGATGACGCATCCGCCCATGCTACATAGTTTCCACGAAGACGCCTCCGTGGATGTGTCCTTCGCCCTGGAGTGGAATAGTCTCCTGGTACCCGTTGAGGTTACTGTTCGTCATGTCCGTTGGCTTTTTTCAGAATTCCGACTTGGAGTTGTCCCAGACCCGTGTTGTTGTTTGGAGTAGCCTCAGTCATAGGCTGTGAAGGTGCTGCGCCAGCTGAGTAGAATGCCTTGAGTGTGCTAATCGGAACATGCCAGCATTGGGAATACCATCAAAAACGTTTCAATTTAGAGTATACAGACCCTTTTTCGTATAGTTTCACACTGCACAGCAAAAGTTCTGCCACTGATCGAACAAAGATCAGAGGTCTCGAAAATGAACTTTTTGTCACTGTTTTGGGATCCTCTACTTTTCCATATCCTCTTTGTTATCGATGCCGTTTCTGTTGAATGGTAAACACCAACCCACCAGCAAACGTAAATTAATTGCCCGTGGAGTCCGCCGTCCCATGCCACACATTCATGTATTCGTGAGAGAAGTTGAGTGGTTTCCCCACATTCTGGCGGATACTCCAGTGACAAGTAACGGTACCATTGTCCGCCGCATCAGCCCGGTCATCGATAGTCACTTAGCAGGGTTTGTGACGACTGGGTTGGTCGAACGGCTCTAGAGCGGTGTTTGGAAGCAGAAGAACAGAAGGCCAGGTAAGATTCTGGCCTTTTGCCCAATTAGGATCGTACACAGACGGGTTAGTGTGGAACCATTGGAGTGTTGCTTCCACTGAAATGCGGCCTTCGAAGAGGACAGGGCAGACAACGCCAGAAGCCTCATCAAGACCGGAATTGTGGGCATGATCACCGACAGTTTAAAGTCCGCTTGAAGTTTTGATTGCGGTTACAATATCACTCGTAGTATTTTACTAGGTGTACACGCTAGTATGAAGGTAAGGGGTGGAAGGTATTTGCGTTTTGTCCGTGAATTATGGAGAGTAAGATGACGAGGCGGGTCAAAGTAGAGTGTGGGGCAAAACTGATGAGGAAAGGTGCGGCACCGCTGGTTGGGATAGCTGATGGGGAGAGGGATGTGGATGCAGGGAGGTTTTTGACCGCGAATACTGAGGGTAGGGTGTATGAGTGGTAGGTTCCTTTATCTAGATCTCTCGAGTCTTTGATATCTTATCAAATTTTATTTCCATACCATTAGTTGCTGTGTGAACGGAATGCGTTACTGCAGTATCTTCTAGTGCTAGATAGAACGTGTCCGGGACTCAGGGGCGATGAGGCCTCGTTGAATGAGAATGTATTAAGACAGTGCTTACGGTCTCGTCGCCTCTTCGAACGCTGCTGAGTCCTTTCACATATGTTTTGATAGTGGAGCACGCGTTATTATATCGCTATTCGATGACAGAGCTAACGTATTTCTCATAACCATTTCGATCAAAAGCTATGCCATAATGATCGCTAACCCACATTACTCAACTCACGGACGTTTTCCTTGCCAAGCTTTGTAAAGCGGATCGGACCGGTACGTACGTAGTAGTACAAGCGACATTCCTCCCGGCGATCCCCCTAGCGATCTTGTAAGCGATGTAGTAAGCGGGAGTTGTGTAGTTGGGTACGGAATAAATGTTCAATCGAGGGAAGAAGGGGAAAATGACCCAATGACCTGTTAGCCTGCTTGCCAGATAGTAGTGTGGCACTTGTCATAGGGCCTGGCTTTTTTCCATTGCCTACTACTATCTGCAAAGCTGAAGCACTGCATGAGGTGTGACAATACGCATTGGATAGTAATTCTTTGTTAGACGCCTAACCATTCTTTGCATTTCCTGGGACCGAATACCTGCTAAAAAACGAACTTTGTACACTAAAATCCTGAAACACATATACGCTATGCTATGCCCTTTACACGCCAAATTATGCATTATAATATTGTAAGCATCTCGTCTGCCGGGAATACGCCTGTTTTTTTCGCTTAACCGAACTTTTGCAAGTGGGAAAATAAGATGAAGAAAAAGAAAAAGAAAAAGAAAAGGAGAGAGAAAGAGAGAAAGAAGAGAAAATGGTCGTAGCTGGCTGGCGCTTTCCCAATCATATCATGGCACCATGTCGGTATGATGGTAGAGGCAACGGCTCACCAATCTCGTAGTTCCCAAAGAAATCTACAGTGCTCTTTCGGCGCTCCTCCATGGCATCGCTGAGATCGCGACTGATGCAGATTTCCATGCCGCCGCTCTGCTCTGTGCCTTTGCGCTCCGTCGACATCTTGTATCCCACACCAGCTGATGATGTCTGCGGTATCGCGGATGAAGGACTGAGATAAGTAGAGGTTGTATGTTTGACTTTGCCAGGGAGATCATTTTCACCGAGTAGACCAAGCCACCGCAGCTCAGCACAGCGCTTGAAGACGCCTTCAAGGTCAAAAAGATCCTGCATGGACAGACTGTACATTTTGCCGCTGCGGTATTTCCAGAAGAAGAGGACTGACAGCTCGATTGTCTCAATGTTTGGTAGAGGTTGGAGAATCTTGTCTATGGAAGCCAGCAGATTGTACGTCATGCGCATTTGGTCCTTGAGCATCCGGTCTCGGCTACCATTTCTCAGCGTTGTATAGTTCCATTCTAGATAGAAGCGAACGTGCGTTGTGTGCTTCAGCATCGGCAGTCTAAGGATATGCTGCGAGAACTCGAAATATTCATTGTTGGCCCGCGTGTTGCGCAGCTCCGCGTGGAGTGTGATTTTGCTGCGCCGGAAATAGTTTTGCAGCAGTTCCTCGCGGATTTGCTTGTTAATTAAAAGGAGCTCTGGGCGAAGGCGCAAAGCGTTGGGCACCGATGGTCCGTATCCAAAGATGTCATGTCTCCAAGGCTCTCCGTTGGACATTTCGGCACTCCAGAGGCAAGTGTGTAGCTCTGGCCGGTCCTTTGAGGTGTCTGGCAAGACATAGCTGAATATTTGGTCCCGGATTTCCCTTGGAAGCGCTAGTAGTGGCGAGCTGAATGTGCTAGGGTTGAGTTCAAGAAGGATTTCGAGTTCGCGGAAGAGAAGACTTTGACGGTGCTTGTAGAGGCCATCTGAGCTCCGGTTGGAGATCATGGAGAGCTTGTTGCTCATTCGTTGGTGCAGCGTGGCCATGTGTCGTGTGCGTGTGTATGTGTATGTGTATGCGAGTGTGTGTGTGAGTAAGTATATGCAGGGTTGGATTTAGAAAGAAGGAAACGGTGGACGTCTAGTGCCCGAGTAAGCGCTATATAGGTTAGTTGTTATGGAAGCCGGTCAGTCCTGGCTAGTTAAAATGATGGAACAGGCTGGTCGTCGTAACCCACAACAACGGACTCAACATGCAGATTGGATTAAAGTGGCACCGCAAAGTTCCTTCGTGCTGACACCAAGGGTTCACGGCAGCGTGTTTCGATGAAAAGGGGACTATCTGCGACGCCATTGCCGTGCGATAGGGGCGAGTCAGTCATGGATGGTGCCTCTGCTGACTGCGTGCCTGCCGCAAGGATCCGTCACAGAGCCCGTGCCGCCTCGCGAAGAGGATTAGTGTGTCACGTGTTGTAGATCTAGCCGACGCGCTTCTGCTGTGCTGCTGCTGCTGTGCTGCTGCTGCGCTGCTGCTCTGCTGCTGTGACACGTTTCACCTTGGCGCTTCAGAACCTCCTGCGTCCGTCAATCCTCCAGGTTTCACATTCTCAAACACGACCGGAATACCATATCGGCTTGTCTTTCCACGCACGCGGAATGCCCACATATCGCCCGTCCCAAAGCCAAAAGTAAAAGGCTCCCTTCTGGCATGTGCGTGGGCGACTAAACCAGTAGTTGCTCTTTTTCCTTTTCGCGTCCATTAAAAATAGTCTTTATTTGCATCTGGTCGACGGCCGTCTAAAATTAACTAACTAGCGGCGGCTCCAACGCGGGAGACAAAAGCGACATGTTTGCGCCGTTCATGGTCTAGGGGGGATCATAACAAAGGAAAAAAACAAAGAGATGAGCAAAGGGCTCATAGCACATTTCATGATTCGACCAGCTCGGTGTCGAAACATTGACAGTCGGCAATGCCGCCACCAGATCTCCATCCGCTCAGCAGCGTAGGGCATTTCCATGCGACGTCCATGTCGGAGCATTGGAACAGGACATTCCATATCCGCTCCATTGTATACCCGAACCAAGGCTTGCTCATGCCATCTTCTCGGTCCTGCAGATAGGGTTCACTGTGCGCCCAGCTCTTCTCGTCGACAAGAAGTCTCCAGAGATCGTCGTATATTGCTTTGTCAATGCCGCGAATCCGCGCAGCGGTAGCAACGAACTGGCCCTTGTAGCTGAGCAGTATACCGTCGCGCACCGAGTGGTCGATCCTTGATTGAATCTCTGGAAACAGCGACGTCTCATCCTGCCAGCCCTGTTTGTCGCCACAGTCGTCACTATAACAAACATTGCCTGTCCATCCCAGGTTGAGGAAACCAGTTTGATTTGCGCGGAAATATCGTTGGAAAAAGGGATAAAACTCTCGTGGGTTGTGAATGTCGGCTTGGAGGAAGATGGTACGCTCTGCAAGCTTGTCCCAGCGGTTGACGATATGGTTGAGGTACGTCTCTGCTTCTCGTCCCACGTTTGGAAGCTTAACAACGTTGTGCGCCTTTGTTTCTTGCTTGACCTTCTCTTCGTCTGCCTGGCCATCCTTGAGATATATGGTAACAAGAGCTTGTGACATTTGTGGCATGGTATGTAGCTTCGATATAAGCGAGGCCACGTCTTGTGTCCGCTCCTTGTACATGCTGATAACAACCTCCAAAGGGCTATTTGCCTCGTATTTGAGATCCAACCGAGGCTCGATGCGTGGGTATTGGCGTTGTCCAAAGTTAAAGCTTATATACGCAGTCCATAGCATGACTAATACGATGCTGCTGAAAGACGAGCGGAAGCCATGGGTGTAGTCTGGACGGCTTGCTAGAATATCCGCTTCTCCGGCCTCCTCACTATCGTCTGATCGAGTTCTGGGCGAACACGGGACCATATCGTAGCTTCCATGGGGATCTTTCGGTTGCCTTGCTTGCTTCCAACTTGACCTGTAAACTTCATGGCCGCAGATGCACAGGACTGCAAGGAAGTAGAAGCACAGTTGGTACCAGCTGGAGTAGGAACGGCGCAGCGAAAGAGTGGTAAAACAGCCAATGACGGCTGTCATTGTTAGCTGCGTGAATACATCGTTCACACGTTGTGATGCGGTGTGGCCAGATGATTGGCCATTACCGATTGTCTCTATAGGAAACAACACCGACCCCCCTATCAATAGCGCCGCTCCGGTTGAAATGGCATTCAGCGTACGCAGCAGCAGGTTCTCTCTGTCAAGCGGATTTCTATGCTCGTCGGGCCAACCGCTGAGTGCGCAAAATACTGTTATTAGAATCCCCATAGCAACTAACCAACCGGCATCCGTGCTTTGGCTAAGCGAAACCCCTGGATAATGCTTCGAAGCCAACTTCCTCAACGCACAAGCCAAGCCAAGCAAGAGCATGGCTAAGATTGATGTTATCAAGCTTGGCACCATGAGGCGGTACTCTACGGACAGAACTCCGGTACAAGCCAAGAGGTGGATGCCCAAACGTAGCGCATCTACGCCTGAGCGGGGTGTGTAACTGAAGACATGCAATATCAACCCTTCAGCGAAGAATGCAACCGTCTGGCCAGATTAGCACAATGCGGGTTGCAGCAAAGACGGAATAAACTTACTGCCATCATGCAAAGAAGGGGCAGGTTTGACGTGTGCAATACGGCTTGGGTTATGCATAGCGCTGCTACTGCTTGTAGGGCGTGTGAAGTTATGACCAAAAGTGAGGCTTGGATTGGTTGTCTGGGTTGCTCTTGCTCGTTGCTGCGCTCTTGATCATTTTTCCGCCACAAGTGTGAGATGAAAGCGAGAATGGCAGTGGCGACAATCTGACAGATGTACAACTGCAGAGGGTAATGCAGATTTGCCTCGACTAGGAGATGGCGTGTGGTTAAGAGGGAGGTGACTGCACATGGCAGCCAGACTAGTTGACGGTGGTCCTGGAGTCGATCGTACACGGTCCGGCATTGCGACGAGTGGTGTTCATGGGTTCGTTGGTGGCCATGAGCTGTGGACATGATGTTTTGGTGCAGAGGATGATTGCAGGCAGGCGGCAGAAGAAAAGACGTCGCGAGAGCTTAGGCGTGCAATGTGAAGACGCGAGGGCTTAGGCGTGGGTCAGCCCATGCGTTTGGCGGACCCGAGTTTGCATCCACCGGGTCCAGATGGCCGCCTATCAAAACGGCTGAAATAAGAATGTGGGCGATGTGCGTGGGAGAAGAAGCAATTGTACAGAGGTGTCGAGGAGCTGAGATGAGGCTCCGCATGGGTCACTGACCTACCACTTTGGTGACCGGGTCTTCGCATCGACCACAAAGGGGCGCAAGGCTAGGCCTCTTTGGCGGCATGTGTAGAGGCATCGCGATGGCAAAGCCTACTAATCTTAAATAGCACAGTAGATGGGGTAGGTGAGGCCAAAGCCGCAGAAGGGTGAGATCTTGGAACTGCGTGCCCAGCCTCGTTACAGGCCTTTTTGCTAACCAACAAAGAGGCGAAGTCAAGCAGGTCCTTGCGAGAAACAAATGGCGGTGGTAGTGGCACGAAGGCGCTAAGCCTGTTACGCGGCATTGCGGGCCGAATATTGATCCGCATGTTGGCACTCGCACACTCACACGCGCTCAGTCTCGCTGTTAGGGCTGGAGGGGGCGCACCTGGTCGTGCTCAAGCTGCCAGGACGCAGTTTCGGTTAGCTGGCCTGCTACAGCCTTGACGGGTATATTGCATCTCGGTATGCTCCCCCTCGCAGCGAAATAACCCTATGCGAAGTGTAGCGCGCAGCAAAAGACGACACGACAAGCCAAGGGCGCCGTCCAATCACGCCCCAAGCTAGCAGTTGGGTACGAGGCACTGCCCCCGGTTGGGGCCCGCAAAGCGCGGGGATCAATTTCATCAAGAGGCATTGCATACGTACACAGCATCTACACCGACGGGCGGCCTGAGAAACGCGGGACAAGACGAGGTGAAACCCTCAGTTTTCAGGCAGCACTCGTGTACACCACAAATAAACAGCACCAACATTGACAACCGTCTTCACCGACACGCGGCAAAAGGCAAAAGCTCAAACTCGACACCCCTCGAACTAGCGCGCGGGGGCTGCAACAAGGTTTCCATGTGCCACCCCCTCTTTGATCTAAAGTCGTGCAGGCCAAGTGAGATGCGAACGATCCAACTCCGATATTACATAATTCTCACCCTCCAAGGCGCTGCAATCAGCCCTGCATGACGGAAGACGATATCCCCCTTGCCCCGTCTGCCCCGTCTGCCCCGTCTTCATTTTTAGAGGTAGGGTTCAGCGCCAAGACGGTTGGCTGTCCCCGCGCTTTTCGGTTGACCTGCCCCATACGAAATCCATATTTCCCACACCTGCCGTCCTTTTGGCGCTACACCTTTGGACCCTTTGTTCCCTAGCCATTTCCACGTCGACTATGGGGCTGTACATGTGTACATGTGTACATGTGCGAGTTTCAAATCTGCCATTCAAGATAATGCGCCAATGAAAATCGCATTGGTTCTCATGTCGTTCCAGACACACCCCGGTGGCGTGGCGGTTGGCGACCCCAGAATACCACACCTGAGCAAAAAGCTACCGTAGTGTCGGCATAGACGGGGCCGCCCCCGCGCCACTGCTATTGCCGCTCGCACTCGACTGGAAGGACTGCCAAAAAACGGCGCGCCTTGCGATTGCAGATGATCTGCTAGCCTAACGTCAGCAGCCCGAGTCCGGAGCTTTGGAATTACCCATATTCAACTACAATCTAGGTCAAAAAGATTTCATCATATAGGCCTCCTGAGCTAATCTCACCAACACATCACTGCAATAGGCTCAATCTTCACGGTTTCCAAGCTTGGTGTACTTGCGGCCTTGTTACTTATAACATTATAATTACGTATGGTATTGTAGTCTATATTTACTTCATAAATCGTGTCTAGTTGCTGCCAGATACGCTCTGGACAACAGGGTACAACGGCAAGTACGGCTTGTACGCACTCTGGCACTTTGCGTTGAAATCAGCAGTGTTGCCAACCTCGATTTCGAGCTCGTTTCCTGGTACGCCCAACTTTCCAATGGCACCACTCTTGGGAGAGGCCTTGGCCCATCCAGGGCCGGCCTTGGGGTTCTTGATAAAGTTTACAAACCAGTCGTTCTGGAAGTCGGCGAGAGCCTGCTCCTCTGCGGTCACGTTCTCCACACCAGCAAAGGCATCATTGCCACCAAAGAAGAATGGAATCTCAGCGCCGTGGGTGGGCGGGGAGACGGGCAGAGGAAGAATGTTGGCATAGTCCCCAAAGAAGCGGTAGATCCAGGTGTCCTGCTTCTGGCTGCGCACATCAACAAGGTAGTCGACGGGGCAGAAAAAGCGCGCGTCGCCATACTGGGCACCGCTCATTGCAGAGACACTGCTGAAGTCGGCAGCGTTGTAGGCATCCAACAGGACCTCGTCGGGGATGTTGGCAACATCGGCATTGAATGAGTTGATCCACTTTGCGAAGTCGGTGTTCTCACCACCATAAACCAGACTGAATACAGCACCCTCCTTGTCAGAGTTACCCGTCAGAAGAGGAACATGAGACGCATATTTGCCGGCTGCGAAGCGAGCCTCGTAGTTTTGGTAGCGGGTCTTCTCGTCGACTACTGGAGTAAAGTATGTGTTGTAGGTAGAGTTGAAGCCAGCCGTTTGGAAAGCGTACATGTCGACCTTGCGGAGACAGTCAAGCTGGCCCGCACCGACAGGGCAGTTGACTTCCTTTGCGACGATATCAAGGGCTTGGTTGGTAGGTGCCACAGCCGGACCCGACTTTGCGTTGGCCGCCATCTGAACCGCACCGGCAAGCCAGGTGTCAGGGTGGTTCCATAGGTAATGGTCAACCTGTACAGAGCCAGAGGAGTGACCTCCGAAGACAACATGGTCAGGGTTGCCACCAAACTGAGCAATGTTGTCACGGACCCATTGCAAGGCCTTGTCAACATCCAGGATGCCAAAGTTTTGCGACTCATTGCCTCCCGCCAGTTCGGCCGAATTGGGGTAGGCCCACAGGCTTTCACGTGTGTTGAAGCTAACAAAGATGACACCCTTGTTGGCAAAGTTGCTACCGACGAGCTGGGGGTTGCTGCTGGATCCTGTCACCATGGCGCCACCATACATGTACACAAAGACAGGAAGACCAGAACTACCATCGGCCGATGGCGGTGGTGGTGGTGGTGGTGCCTGAGGTCCTCCTGGAGGTGGGTTAGGTCGAGGATGACAAGCACAAGGGGGAGGTGGAGGCCCACGTCTTGCCTGGGCCTGCGTAGATGGCACCCAAATGTTGAGGTTCAGGCAGTCCTCGCCTTGCTGGGACCACGTGGTGGTGGTGATTGCTTGCGGGCATGTTGGCCCGTACTTTGTGGCATTGAGCACCTCACCCTTCTTCAGTCTCCTTGCATCTTGAGGAGCCTTCCATCTGCAGAGGAGAGTCAGTACACACGGGTCAGACGCACGTGGCAGCAGGGTATTACGTACCGGTTCTGTCCTCCGGTAGTTGCCGCAAATGGGATTCCAAGAAAGACGGAATTGCCATTGGAATCGGTAAAGCCTGTTACGCTTCCGTCCTGGAGGGACGCTACTCCATCTGCGACAACCGCCCTCGCGACTTTGTGCGGGAGTGGGTTAGCGCCTACAACAGCGGCCTGACCAAGGACGCCAACAAGCGAGAGGCTCTGTAGGCCACTGATAACAGAAGACGGGACCCTCATGATGCAAGACACAGGGAGGATGGCTGAAGGAGGGAACTATAGAGTTTGGGCGGTGGGTGCAGATCTTGTTCGGGCGTCCACATGGCTATATACTTACTTAGGGCACCATGCTGGCGGGACCAAGTTGGAGGGACTCGATTCTTACCGCCAATTGTACGAAGGACCATGTCACTGCCAAAATGCCGAAGTGTTGCCAGGCAATAGTTTAATGGGGCCCTCGTGGAAGAGTCTTTTCATCTCCGTTGATGCAGGTCCTGAGTGGGCCCATGGACGGGGCCGACTCAGGTTCCATGGTTCTGGCCAGACTAAGCGAATCCTACCAATCGCGCCCCCCGCCCTATCGATCCGGTCTAAGCACTAGAAGCGCTAGACTCCGAGCGCATGCCTTCCACGTCCACTTCGCTACTCGACACTGCCATGGTCGACAACGCCATGTTCGGCTCCTTGCCGTGCCATCGCCACACACCACCGCGGATGCTCGGATTTACCACCTGCTGCCCTCTGCATTTTTTGCGCGCCGTCGCCCTAGGTCCCTGAGAATGCAGCACTGTCGATAAAGTTCATGTCAGGCCCCCCGCCGTAGGTGTAGGAGAGAAAAAATAGGACAGCTTTGCCATTGCCATCTGAATCGTCAATTGCACGAGCGAACAGGTGACTCGCCACAATGACCAGGATGAGCCCATCATGTCTGTTTGACCATTGCCATCTCCTAGCCGATTCCCTTGCCTGCATTAACCATCCAGCCACTCGCTGGACGCCGACCTCCCGCGTAAGAACTATCGGCATCCGCGCCTTTGCACTTGCGCAATCAAGTTAGCACTTTGCAACAACTGGTCCTTAATGATCTTCTCAGGGCATCTCTGTCATATGAGGTATATCAGGGGTTTATCTGTGGAGGTATCCTTAAAGATCGGCACTGTTCGCGTCAGGTCCCCGCTGTTCGTCGCCGTCACCCTCGTTCGCGCATTGCACTCATAGCACACTCGCCCCAATTCGCTGCCAAAGAGGTCCAGGAGAGTGGACCTGTCAAGTTTGACAGCCACAAGCCTTCACCGGTCCAGGTCGGTCCAAGTCGGTCCAGGTCGGTCCAGTCGGTCCAAGTCGGTGTGCGAAAAAAAAGACGGAGAAGCACGCCATGGTTTCCCAAGACTATGGTCAGGTGGTAAGTACTCTCCCCCTCTTCACCCCCTTCAATCTCCACGTCCAACGCTTGACGATTTCCTAGGTGTCATGGTGTATTTGTACGGTAGCCACGGTTCCTTTTGTCGCTCTGCGTATGTGGACGCGATGGAAGAGAATCGGCAGGTTCGGCATCGACGACTACCTCGTTGTGCTGTCGTTGCTGTGTCTCATTGGGGACCTCGCCATCCAACAACACATGTGGAACCTAGGTCTTAGTCAGATCCCATCAATACCGCCAGAGAAATTCAAAGGCATAATGCAGATGATTATCCCTGGATCAACCCTCTACGTTACCTCTCTTTGGGCCATCAAGTTCGCCCTCGTCTTCTTCTACAAGAGTCTTGCCGCGCCAGGGTCGCGACTGGTCACTGTGTACAATATTGCGCTTGGTGGTTTGGCCGTCACATATCTCATCATCTTCTTCGATATCCTCTTCCAGTGCTACCCACACGATAGGCGATGGTCCAATGACCCAACATGTACGCCAAACACCTTCTCTTTCCCCACACATATGCTATTTGTAGAGTGAACCTGGGCTGACCCTGTGTAGATCAATGTAGTCCACGAGCCGCAGAGATCAACTACTGGATTACCATTTTTTGTAAGTTCACGCAGGCGCCCCTGTTTCTCCATGACTCTTGCTTCGGTTTCTTTTTTCTGTGACAGGGCTAATATGCACGGCAGTTAACATCTTCACTGACGTAATCATCATCGCCCTTCCCATCACAATGGTATCCCGATTGCAGATGAAACTCAAGCAAAAGCTTGGTGTAGCCGGCATTTTTGCGCTTGGTTTCCTTGTCGTCATTGCTAGTTGTAAGTCGTCAGTCTTGGCCTTGCCTAAACTTTGCTAACGGGCATCACAGGCATCCGTGCCTACTACTCTAAACGCAACCAAACAATGTTGACGTGCACGGTCTCCATGATTGAAACCGCCATTGCCATCATAGCGACATGCCTTCCCGCCCTACGCTCTACCCTTCTTGGCACCAACACCACAAAGGGCAGCTCAAGCGGCTATGGCGGTCGGCACTACGAGCTCTCGTCTGCACGGCGCAAGGCTAGTGAAAACCGGCTCAACTCGAAGCTGAACAGCAGCCATCAAACCAGCAGCACCGGCGGCCTGCAATCTCACACTCGCGCCAACGGCTCCGAGGACTCGCTCTTCTCCAACGAAAGCCTAAACGCTGCCGAGACAGGGACGGCAGGAACAGCGGTAAAGGGTATCCGCGTGAATACGCAAATCGAAACCATGTTTGAGGAAGGAAGACGCGATAGCAGTAGTCCAAACGTTAAGAGTCCATTTGCTTGAGAAAAACATCTTACGCCGCCTCCCTCACTGCGAGGGACTAAAAGTTAATAATCATGTTGAACGTTGCAAAAGAAAAGAGAAAATGATGCAGGCTTGATGAGTGGGAGAGGGACATGAGGCCGGGCCTGACTCCCCTTCTTATACGAACCCCAAACGGCCTCTCTTTGCCTATCTAATGTTACAAATTAACGCCTATCCGGGATATTCGCACCGATGGGTCACACCGATAAATGGGGACCACACAATCCCTACCCCCCTTTAGAATAGTAGTATTATTTTAGAATCCTAATTACCTCAACTTTCCTAAAACGAAAGCCCAAAGCAACCAAGTAAAAAATAAAGAACAAATAAGGCTACATATCCCGGCTTGTTATTTTTTTTGGAGATTTCCCCACCCAAAAATTGCATGGAATGAAATCCTTCCTCGGCCTCCCTTTCCGAGACGCGCGGTATATGTGTGTGTGTGTGTATGTGTGTGTCTTTTTTGGGCTGGTTGCATAAGTGGAGTGTTTTTATCACAACGGATGTAAAGAAAAGGAAGGGTGGAGAAGGGGCAGAGAGAGGGGGGGGAAAAAAGGGCCTTTACCCGGCACCGCGGGTTTGCCCATATCCGCAACCCCCCCCCCTTCCGCTTTCCGATTCGGCATTATTCCCCGGGCGATTATAATACGACCGGAGGGCTACACGGTATGATGAGGCTGAAGGTAATGGATAGAAGGGCAAAAGTATACGTGAGATTTTTTTTTCATTTTTGTTTTTATGTTGTTGTTGTTTTTTTTTTGGGCAAGGAGAGTATGGGCTTGCTTGCAGGTTTTACATAGTATGCTAAGAGAAAACGGTATAACTATTCAAACATGTAAAATAACGACTTTTTTTTTGGGGGGGGGGGGGTTGGTTTGCCCGTTGGGAATTCGATGCTCAAAGATCAGCCGGTTGATTGGCGCCAAAAAAAAATGACGTGCGTGCGTAGTGTAGCTCTTTTCAGGCCCCAAACCATCACCCATCCGACGACCTGACAACTACTGTGCATGATAACAAACTTTCTCCTTTCTTCCTTCTTCTTCTTCTTCTAGAAACACACGAAATATGTTCGACTTTTTACCTCTTTGAGAAAGACTTACTTTTTACCTCTTTGGGAAAGACTTACTTTTCCCCTTTCTGGGTGTTTAGGTTTATTAAAAAGGATACAGAGTCAGAGCATTTTTTTTTTTAAATTTGAGTCAAGGGAGATGATCCCAAGGCCCCGGGGACACCGAGGGACTTGATTATGCGATGGGAGTCCAAGGCCGTGAGAAACACCGAGAAGGATTCGTCGTTTTGCGCGCTTGCGTCGTGGAAGTAGCCAAGGCGGTGGAGATGGGTCCGGGTTTTTATTGCTTACTTGCTTTGCTTGAAACGGTGTTGCACCGGTACGGGCGTGATGGTTTGTCGGATAGAGTAAGTACTGGAGCATGTGAAGATGTAATGGTTTTGGGTAGGGTGTAGGGACGTGGAAGAGTGCAGATAAGGGACAGCACGCCAAATATATTTTCCATGACCAAGAATGAATTGAACAAGCCACGAACATGACAGAAAGAGAGGAAATATGATGGCGTCATTTCTCCCGATACGCCAGGTTTCAGGCCCATCAAACGCCCAGATATGCGTACTTACTATAACCCCGATACAGAAAAACACGAGACAAATAAAAGGCCCGAGAGAGATAGAAGGAACCCGAAAACTGAAAGCAAACAGATAACAATGGATCCCTCAGACCTCAAGGCCTCCAACCATGTAGAACAGCAAATAAGCCTCGGCAGCGAGAACCTCGGCCTCACTGACAAGCACGACCTTGCTATCGTCAAACATGAACCAATCACTTCCTTCGCGGCTGTAGCTGATATAGTGCCCAGAGTCCATTTTGCCCTTGTGCACAATGACGCTGCTGAGCTCGTACACGAGGGCGTTGGCAGGGCTGTTGATGTTGTAATTTGTCACGGGGATACCGGATGCTTTTGCCGCGCGCAGAGCCGCCTTGTGGGCAGCGGTGTACGGATAGATATCTAGCTTGACTGGGAAGCGAACGGGCGTTTCAATCTTGGAGGATGTGGATTTGGTGTGCTCGAAGCGCTAGAATTGCATGTTAGTTTATTGGTCAGAGAGGGTTCGAAGGATGCGGGTGACGGTACCTTGAGGTGGATGGATAGGACAGGTGGTAATCGCTTGATGCTGAGTTGCTTGGTGGCGTTTTGCGGGCTGTCACAATTCCTACATGTGTATTCTGCTGAGCCGAGTTTCTCTTTTGCGGTAAAGCGCTCGAGACAGTCGCGGAGGTCCAAGGGCGTTTCTTCGCCCTTTTCGGCATTCATCTTTCGCTTCTTGCTCTGGATCCGTACGTCAAGACTAAGATCCATGTAAGGATCTTGTGCTGTGGTAACGTTTCGGCAGCTGTCGCATGTTACTGTGCTTGACAACTTCCCACAGAACGTCTGATGTATAATACATTTGCAGTCCTCCGAATCGTCTGTTGATCCACCGTTCGCAAGATGCAGCGTGTTGAGTATAAACTGCATGTACTCGTGGGCGTCTTGCTGTTGATAACCTGCAAGAGCCTCTCCTGCTAGCCAGCTTCCCATAAGCATGCTGACAGCGCCAAAGCCCTCTGTCTTCTCAGCCGAATGGAACTCGACAAACATTTCGTCGAGCGCGCAGCTCACGCACGACTCCTTCTCGCAGTCTGTTTGCTTATGCCCTTCGGAGAGGTAGAAGTTGCGTATAAAAGGGTTGTGGACGAGGGTCTGTAGGATGACGCTCATGAAGCATGTCTGGCCCATGTTGTAGAGACCGCGCAGGCCTATCGCTCGGCAGGGGAGAAAGGTTGAATTGCTGATGACAAGCTTATGGTCCTCGGTCGTGGTCGTGTCTTCGTACTTTCGCTTCTTGCCTGTAATATCGTCAGCCGACTGGTGTTGCTTCCCGCCGTTTCGTGATGATATGCGCACCCTTCTGTAGCCTCAGAATCTCCAGCGCCTCGTCGTATATAAAGTCCTGACAGTTACCGCAGTATACATTGCCATCACGCGATTCAACAGCTACTGCGCGTTAGCCTTTGCGCATCCCGCGCACGATGCGGCACCTACAGAAGCAGTGCGACTTGGTCTCAAAATGTAGATCGCGGTCGGTCTCGGTCATGATGTTGGGACACTGCAAGCACAGGAACAATGGCCTTAGTGAGACTATGGGCTTCGAATCCGCTGTCGCATTATATGTCTGGGCTATTATACTTGGTTTCTCGTGGATGTTCTGGAGGATGGCCCGGTAGTGCTGGAGCGTCTGCTTGCGCGCGTTTTCGAACATTTCGCCCATGTGCTCTGGCTGGTCGTCAGCGCCATCTAGGTGTGCGTGATGAAGTAGCAGACTTACCACAGCCATACTCGATATGCGCCATCTGGCTGCTAGGCACGATGTTGCCCTTAGCATTCTTGACAATCTTGGGCGACGCCAGCGCCGACGCCTTGGGGGCGACTGCTATCGTGTCCATGGTGCCGATTTGGAAGCAATGTGAGATCGATTGTGTGCACCTCTACTCCCACATGCTGAAAGCGCAAGATACAGATCTAGCTAGCCGTCGCGATGCGCAACGTGGGAGGGGGGTATTTCTGGGGTTGCGGGAGGCGGACCTGCATAGTACCAATCGCGTCAAGCACGAGATGCGTCACTAGCGCATCTCCCAGGAACTTGATCACTCACTCCGATTCCGATTATCACCCCCGAAACCTTCTTCTAGAATGATTATGGATTCGATAGCAATTGTAATTTGTTCGATATTCACAGGGTGGTGCCCGATCGTGCCACGTCTTCAACCATGGATTGGACATTCTTGATTCATCATTTGAAGCTGTTGGCAGTACCCTATGGACGAGAAGGATGGGCGCAAATTCATATGTGCAATTCCAGAACTCCAATTACATACACCTGGAAGCACTTTCTTTTTGTAAAATCCCAGTAATCCACATGCACCGTTTACCAGGTGTGTTGGATGGGCAATTCACAGACGATTCAGTAAAACTTCACACTAGCATGCCCATGACTCGTATGGTCGATGTGCATGCAAGGTACATGTACCGAGGCCGCTTCTTAACTCCCCCGCCTCCGAAACTTCCTGTAAGGATAAAGATGATTATAAATCCAAACAATATCCATCACATCTCATAGTGAAAAACATGTTCCAATTTCTGGACTGCTGAAACATACACACACACACACACATACAAACACACACAATCTCTCACAAACACACCTCAGAATACAACACTGCCCCATTGCACAACCCAGCACATCCGGATCAACTTGAAAAAAACATGCCCTCAATGCCACCCAACTCTTCCCTCCCAGAATCAAACACATCCCTAACATACACTACCCCTTGCTCCCCTCCCCACCTAACCTACACGCCTGTCCCAACACCGTCTCCCAACGAACTCTTGATAAAAGTCCATGCTGCAGCCATAAATCCTGTGGATATACAGCTTTGGGGCAATCCCGTTGTAGGATGGCTGGCTGGTAAAAAGGAGAAGGGAATAGGGAGGGACTATTCGGGTGTGATTGTTGCGGTAGGTGAGGAAGTGAAGAAGCAAGGCAAGTGGGAAGTTGGGGACGAGGTGTTTGGATTGTACAATAAACCTGTATGTTCTTCTCTATTTTATCATCTATTTTTTCTTCTATATTTCACATAATTATATCAGCGTGGTTCCCACGTTACACGACCACCTCCATCATTATCTTTTTTCTTGTCCCATACAGAAAGAAAAACAAGTGCAGAAAAACACCCCACAACCTCTACAGAAACCCCAACTAACCACCACTCTACCTCCAAACAAAAAGACTGCAGAAGGAACATTCACACACTACCTCACCATCTCCCCCAGCACCTCCCCCTTGGCCAAAAAACCCCCATCCCTCCCTCACGCCTCGGCATCCGCCATCCCGCTCGTCGCCCTAACCGCCTACGCCTGCCTCTCCTGGCTCCCCTCTTCCCCCAGCACCCCCTCGCACCCCTACCGCATCATCATCTCGGGCGCAAGCGGGGGCGTCGGCACGCTCTGCCTGCAACTCGGCAAGCGACTCCACGGCAGCCACATGACCGCCATCTGCTCCTCGCGCAACGCCTCATTTGTACGTTCGCTGGGCGCCGACGACGTCATCGACTACACCACGCAAAACGTGCGAGAGGCGCTCTTGGAAAAGGTCGGGAAAGAAGGGGTCAAGTATGATTTGTACGTTGACTGTGTGGGTGGGACAGACGTGTTTGGGTATTGGGGCCAGATACTGCGGAGACAAGGGGCGTATGTTACGATTGTCGGGGATAAGACGGAGAGGACGGCTATGGGGGGGCCGTTGACGTATTTTACGTATCCGAGGCAGGTTCTGAGGTTTGTCAAAGGGTGGCTGGTGGGGCCGCGGTATGCGAATGTTATGTTGTGGGATAGGAGTGAGTGTTTGGAGCAGGTGGCGGGGTTGGTGGAGAGCGGGGAGGTGAGGGTTGTCGTGCAGGATGTTGTTGAGGGGATTTTGAAGGAGGAGAGGTATGAGGAGGCGTGGGAGAGAGTTAAGGGGGAGATGGTGGGGGGGAGGGTTAGGGGGAAGATTGTTGTTGATGTTTCTAGTTAGTAGGAGAGAGAGAGAGAGAGAGAGAGAGAGAGATTGTTGTTGGTGGTGCACAAAGTAATGTTTCATTTGGCTAACAAAGTATGGATAAATGAAGTGTTGAGAAGAGAAATGCCCTTGTTCTGTTGCCTTGACTTGGTCCTTCCTATACTACAAGCCCTCCACCACAGCTACTCTCTCCCTCTCTAGCACTGAAGCTTGGCTGGGCCGGGGATCTTGTACTGACCATTGCCAGTGGGCTGACCTTGAGAGTTGTAGATGCTGACCTTGATACCGGCATCATCGGCCCGGTAGGCGCCAGGGAAGCTAACAGTGGTTCCAGTCTTTGATCCTGAGGCCGAAACGTTGACTTGAGCACATCCCTGTGAAAATGTTAGTAAAGGTTTAGTTGCATATAATCTCGATTTCTTACAATGTAGAACTGTGCACCGCCAACGGAGCTAGCGCTGTGGAGCGCAATCAGCTCAGCTCGCACGAGATACTGGCCTGAAGCAATGCAGGATGGGACGGTGAACTCAGTCCATCCGTTGTTGGAGATCATGCGGTCAACTCCCCAGGTAGTGCCTTCAAGACCGTCCTCGGCGACCTTGAACCATTGTAGGCCAGAGGGTGAGGCACTGGCTGCGTTGGAGACCTTGGCCATGTAGAAGATGGCGGGACCCTTGTGCGACTTGGCAATGGGGTGGTCTGGGTCGTTGGCGCCTCTGTTAGGGGTTAGTAATGGATCCATCTAGAGTGTAGGATTGCAAAAAAAAACGTACTGGGCTCCTCCAACGACATGGCCCCACTGGACACCAACCCTGTCACCGCCCTTGACATCAATGACCTTGCTCGACGAAGAGACACCGGTGTTACAGGCCATGGCACCATCGTTGACGTTGGTGATGGGGTTGTTGGACGAGGCAACACGAATACCGTTGCCTAGGCCAAAGTCCTGGCCGTTGACGCGGACACGCTGAGCAATGGTGTGGGCTGACCCAAGAGCGGGCAGCAGAGCAATGGCAGCGGCGAAGAACTTCATGTTGAAAGAGTGGATGAAGGTGGAGTGGTAGTGAATGAGTGCTAAGGCAAGGTGAGGTGCCTTATTCTGTCGTCTTGCCCATGTCTTATATAGTCATTAAGAGTAGTCATGATACACAAGATGCTGCCCATTTCAGGACTGTGAGGCCAAGCCTTGCCGTTGTCTACGTCAATCGCTGGGCTGCAATCTATTCACGCCACAAGGGAACCATAGCGAAATGGCGTGCAGGAGTTGGCATGCACTCCAGGCTTTTTTTTCACGGTAGTTCCGGCGGCGGCAGTCAGCAAGCTCCCAATTAGGGACATGGCATTTAATCAAGTGGAGCAGATGGTCGATTGTGCCTAGACGCCGATACAAGGCGTTTCGAAATAAATGCGCCGTGTAATCAAGCACCCGGCAAGCATTGCTTGGCAGTGGCATTTATGTGCTGTCGGTTAATATATATTCGCGACAAAGGCCCGTGAGCGAGGCCTCATGACCGGTTTCTGGAAGCGGCCTTGCGCCATGACTTGTGCATGGTACTCTTTCTTTGATGTTTACTGTTGGGGCAAACAATGTGTGTGGTGGTGGTGGTTTGACTGCAAATGAGCGTCGGAGTTTAGTTTCTTCTTCTTCGAGTTGGATGTACATGTTTAAATGCAGATAGGGGTAGTTGTGTATACTACTTTGGAGACGGAGCACTGCTCGTTGGGCCGGCTCCGCGGCGAGCACTTCGCCAATCTCGTTTGCATACAAACTAAGTCCCCGTGCAATCCGGAGGCGGCATGCCATGTCCAGGAGCAGGTGGCCAAGCGAAAGTTGGATGTAAGCGAGAAGAGGCACAATCTCTCGATAGACATATAAAGAGGAGTGTGCAGCCGCCATGGTGGACAAGGTAGTCGGGCATCATGTGCAACGTCTTGTTTGGGAGCGGTGTGTAGTAGACAGTTGGGGGCCGGAAGTGGAAGGTGTTTGATATGCTTTTCCTTTGACGATTAGCGGTTCCATGCTGGTATGGTGGAGGGCACTAGGCGAGATGCATTGCACATGTATTTCTCCTGTGCTGACCAATCAGAAGCGCAGAAACTGCAAATGTTGCACTAGAGGACAAGGCACTGGCCATGCTGCATTTTGCTGCAGCTATTCCTACTGCTACCCGAATCCATACTATACATACATATGTAGGCATATACCGAGCAAGTCACGGGTTTTGACATGTGCATGCAGACTCGACTGCACGCCATCTTGGACCTGCAGGTGCAGGCTGTGGAGCAGTGGCCATCTTGGTGGCTTCATAGATGACGACACTGGAACGGGTCCAATGCTCGGGTTTCTTGGTTGCTTCGACTAGCGATGGCACTTGGGTTTAGGGTAGCATTGGGGCAAAGGGGTCTTCCAGGGTACACGCGGACTGCAGCACGCAGACGGGAAACTTGGACAGAGCGAGAGTTAGCAAGACGTGTCCAGGTGGGCATAGTCATGGCCGTATTCGCTCTGGTCTGCAGAAGCATATCTCCAACTGCAACTGCAACTCCGTCCCGGACCGGCACCTTCGGCTGATTTTCTTCTTCCCCCCCCCACTTCGTCTCCACGTGTTTGAGCAGCGAGTACTTACTTACTACATTCTACGTACAGGCATACATAGACATATATAGTCTATAGGTGTCGATAGAGGTGTACCTGTAGAACACTCACTCAGAAATACGGCCAATGCTCGATCAGTGACCCGGATATAACGACCTCGATCGCTATGTATACATAGATAGATATATATGCAATGCCTTGTTGGCAGTGGTGGTGCAAGCGCATGTGTGGCGACTCGGAAGACTGCGCAACCGGACGGCCTTGACGCGCCCTGGTGATAGGCCAGATGAAGAGCAGCGCCACAGACTAAAGGCTCGAGTCGGGCAGATTTGGCTGGCTTGTTGCATCTGCGCAATGACGATGACGCTCGTGTGTTGTGCATTACATCACTCGCACACCTTGGATGCCTCTTGTCGCTGCCACAAAGCCGCCCGTCGCCAGGCCTTATACCCCCTTTGCTGCCTGTCCCTGACATTCACTGCAAGCAGCTCCTCGACACATCCATTCACCTGGAGCGTGCGCCCATTTTCGCCCAACATTGACGCACCTGCATGCTGATCTACGCTGTACATCAACATTCCCGCACCCTCGATTTGACTTTGTTCCCGTTCGTGCCCCACGCAATCTCCGCCCTGGCCTCCCCGCCGCCTCCCTTGGCACGACCCTGTACGTCACCACCAGCCACACAACCCGCACGGCACTTCTTCTCCCTGTTGCTGTGAACCCTTTCCTCCGTATATCAGCCAGGGTCCATCCCCGCTGCCCGCTTGCCTTTTCTATTGCTCTCCCCAAGCCTGCCATCCTGTCAACCATCCGACATGGCCATGCAGCGACCAGTGACGCCCTCGGCCTCCTACCAATCTGTGCCACAGGTCGACGATCCAGCCCACCTCAGCCGAGGATACGGCGTGGGCACCAATGACTTTGCATCCTCTCCACCACTAGCTCACTATGACCGCTCCCGCCTCGGCAGGTTCGAGGAGGACTTTGATGCGCCCACTCGGGGCACTTCAGTCATTGACGGCGACATGCAACCGCGCTCCTCCTCGCGCTCCTCGACCCTGAACCAGGGCGTCACGCCTTCACGCAGCGGCACCTTGAAGAAGAAGGGCTCCGTAAAGAGGACCGGCAGTCTCAAGCGTAGTGGAAGCAGAAAGTCCATGCACGCTGGCAGCATTCGCGGCGTGCCCATCGACGACCAAGAACGTGGCTATGATCGCGAGGATAGTGTCTTCTACACGCCCGTCCCTACCAAAGGCTCGCCCACCGAAATCCTAGCAGAGCGCTTTCAAAGTACGTTATCATTTGGCCCATTGGTTGAACTGCTCACTGACATGTCGCAGCCTGGCGCAAGTTTCTAAAAGACCTCATTACCTATTTCCGAGAAGTCGCTGCTTCCTATGAACACCGAGCCAAGTCGCTCCTCAAAGTTTCCAACGTAATCAACAATACCAATGCGCCCTCTGCACTCCTCACCGAGGGAGGTCTGAATGACGCCAACCGCATCCTCCGCGAATTCCACAAGCAGGCAATTGCTGAAGCCAACAAGGCCCGGGACGTGGAGACAGACGTCATCAACCAACTCAGTAGCCTCCGAGCCGACCTGGCGCAAAAGATCAAGGAAATCAAGTCTCTTTCAGGAGACTTCAAAAACAATGTTGAGAAGGAAAAGGAAATTACCCGGAAATGTGTGACAGCACTTGAGGAAGCCCTCGCGACAGCAGAGGCAGACCCTACAGCTGCTGCTGGCAAGGGTGACCCATATGTCGTCCGTTTGGGTGTCGAGCGACAGGTCGAGAGGCAGATTGACGAGGAGAACTACCTACACAGGGTGAGTTGCTGCACTTGCACAGAAACCATGCCAAACTAACCAAAACAGGCCTACCTTAACATTGAAAACTCTGGTCGCGAACTCGAGTCGATTGTCGTTGGCGAAATCCAAAAGGCCTACAATGCTCTAGCCAGTATTCTCAAGCGCGAAGCTGACGAGCAGTACAACACGGTTGAAAGACTGCGGAACGGCCCAATTGCCATGCCCCGTGACCTTGAATGGAGCAAGTTTGTGAGAAGCGATCCTCACTTTGTCGACCCCGATCTGCCATTGCGTAAACTCGAGGACATTCAGTATCCAGGCAAATACCATCCAGCTACCACAGAGGTTAGGGCTGGTATGCTTGAGAGAAAGAGCAAGTATCTCAAATCATATACCCCAGGCTGGTAAGTAATTCCTTTTCTTCCACATGGCCCACCTAACAAGCACAGGTATGTCTTGTCACCAACTCATCTCCACGAATTTAAATCTGCCGATCGCATCTACACTCAACCTCCAGTCATGTCCCTGTATCTGCCAGACCAGAAGCTTGGTTCTCGTTCCCAGCCCGGAAGTTCCTCCCACAAGTTCGTTATCAAAGGCCGTCAA